AAGCAATCGAACCGTTGATCTTGAGGTTGATTAATAAAGTGCAAAGTTTGCACAAGGAGGTGCAGGAGTTTAGGGCAGAAAACCCGAAAATTAAGCTCCTCGTAATGCCTTCACAACCTTTTGAAGAAATAAAGCAATTCTTATCATTTGAAGCTACTCTACAAAGGAATGGCGTAGTTTTTTCTTCTTTTGTAAGTATTTCTATGTGCAATGGTTTCATGTATGCAGTACCTACATATATTTATTTATGTACTTATGCTTTCCTTTTTATTTTTTTGAATCAGGAGACGGAATTTGCAGTGGTTGCCAAAGCACCGAGCTTTGTAAGAAACTGTTGGAAAAAAATTTTGATAGATGAAGTTTTGCCACAGTTGTGCTGGAAAGGGGCGGAAACGAAAAAAAGTGTACGCAATCTTAGTACAACAAAAGCTATTCGAATAAGAATTAAAAAAATACATATGTTAACAAATTTACAAAAATTATAACTGAAATTTTATATTTCACAGATGCGGCTATATCATGCGGTATTGGTGAAGATCAAATAATAAAGGATACTAGAATTTTCTTTCAATTTGCCAAAAATCGCACTAAACTACGTGGAAATTACAAAAGACGTGAAAAAACTTTAAATAAATGTGCTTAATTTTATATATACTTTACAATCAAGAAATGTTTCTCCTATGAATTGAAAACTAAAATGAAACACATTTTAATTTCCTTAAATTTATAGAAGAAAATGAATTAAAAATTTACGTTATAAAATGGTGAATAATAACATCCCGTCTTTTCTTTCAGTGTACAATGGTTTGTAAAAGCTTACAAATAGTAATATTACCTTACAATTGTGGCAAAACCTTACAAGTAATATTATCCTACAATTTATTTTAAAACCTTATAGAAATCTTGCACTATTAATATTATCACAAAGGTTCCGTTTTGATTTTTCTACAATTGTTGTCCTTTTTAATAGATTCTCAAGGATTTTTCAAGCTTAACGCTTATATTTGTAAGCTTTTAAAAATATTATTCTCAAGTCATTAGGTTCATTCCTTATCTTTTTGGACTAAAATCTGAAAAGTGTCAAAATGCCAGAGCGTAAGCAAAATGCGCTCACTAAAACAGAATAACAGGAAAAGTAAAGGAACGCAAAAAACCAAATTTTTAGTCCAAAGAATTGCAACAACAAAGCTAACGTCAAATAAGAATGGAAATGTATGCACAAAACACATTCACACAAGCACAAGCACAATAAACACTTACTATGTCAATTATTTTTTGCCTCCTTCCAATTTCAATTCACTTTTTTTACTTTTTAGATTATTCTCACTTTTTGCGTATTCTTTAATTTCCGTAAATTTAAATTCAGTTGAGTTTGACACTTTTCAGGATTTTTCCAGAAAAAATTCTTCTGACTATTTCGGATTGATGAGAGTCATTCTCACCGAGTGTTGCTCTCTCATTTTTGCTGTCATTTCCGAGTTAAGGAACGCTTTTTGGACTAAATTTGACTACTTCGGACTTTTTCTGACTATTTCTGGGAGATAAGGAACGCTCCTATTATGTGTATTGGGTAGATGGCGCTCCAATCTAAAATTAGTACAGGTGTGTTAGTAACACCATAAAATTTGCGTTTATGTTGGAGTTTTGGTCACGCTGGTTTTGCTGGGATGCGTAATTATATACATACATACATAAATATGCATATACAAATGTAAGTGCTAACAGCAATTTTAGTTGCTTCTTGTGGCAACATAAACGACTCTGCATACATAATTGCCTACATTAGATGTGTTTGTTTACAAATTATCCAGTAACTTGCCAGAAACTCTCCAGTAACTTAATTTCTGAGAATTCGCTCTCATAGAAAAAGTATCCAAAAAAGTACGCGAACGCAAATCCAGTAATAATTTGCAAGTTTCATGAACAGCTGATAAATTGCTTGTTTATTCGCACCTAATTCCTAATAAAACAATATATTTTATATTTAAATAGGTTTATTTTGTCAATTTCAACAATAAAAACAAATAAACAGTATCCTTATTAGTTTAAACTGCATCCAGCAATATGCGATCAGCTGTTTTTCATACTGGCAAATTCTTACAAGCAAATATTTATCCAGTAAAATCCAGTAAAAACTTACAACTTCAACTGTAATTTTTCGCTCTTTCAATTTCCCCTACTTTGCAAGTTTTTTCGTACGAAAACCCCAAAACATGAAAATTCGTAAAAACTTTTACTGGATTTTACTGGAAATGAGTAAACAAACACAACTATTATTTCTCCATGAACACTACATACTGTATTTGTTTTTTTTAACATAAGAATCAACATTAACGTCAACATTAGCATGTATGTATATTAGACTGCATCATCAGTCAGGATGGCAAAATTTATTATATTTTAAGACGTCCACCAAAACATTTCGGAAACATATTAAGATTTAAGTAAGCTGGACCGATTTGAAAATACCTCCAAAAATGGATAAATGGATTATGAATGAAAATAGTTTCTTAAAGAACTTTTTGAAAAAAAGCTCCCTCAGATGACAAAACAGGTTAAGTTTAAAAACTTTGCATACAAATGTTTAAAAATTTTTCAACGGAATAGTAATAATGAGATTTTTGGTGCTATTTTTTACTTATCTCAGTAGAAGTGTATTTTCTGTCCAAAAAAAGTCATTCGTGTCTTAATTTTTTTTTTCAAATACCAACACATCTTAATTCAACTTTGAATGACATTCTTGCATCCTACCTTTGTCTCTCATCCTTTGAATAAGTTTATTAGCAAAGCGGTAAAAAGGTTGAGAAAATACCTTTCTAATGACACCTCTTAAGTCTAAATCGGAAGAGCTTAGGTTCAGTTATTCAAGTTTTTCTTATACCAATCTTTGAAAAAAGTTAAAAAACAGCATCAAAAATCTCATCGTTACGATTCCGTTACATTTTTTTTTTATACTTTTATGCTAATTTTTTAAGCTTAAACCGTTTTGTCATTTGAGGGGATTTTTTCAAAAAAAATCTTTAAGAAATTATTTTTATTCATAAAAAACTCCATTTTTGGAGGTATTTTCAAATCGGTCCAGCTCACTTAAATCTTAATATTTTTCCGAAATATTTTAGTGGACGTATTAAAATTTAATAGATTTTATAATTCCAATGGAAAAATAGTACCGATTTTTTTTGTATGGGGAGTGACGCAGTATAATATATGTATATGTATACATAACTGTTGTAATTGTGAACGAGATGTAATGTGGTGAGTGTTTCCAAAGTCACCTAATGAAGTATGTTTCATAGTAGGATGTAAAAAACTGCAGCTACCTTTATGTTTGTTAAATAAAGTCTCTCTCTCTTCTTTTGGATAACTAACTCGGAATAGACGTGCTTTTATTTCTCGGTTACACTCGTTTTCAACCTTAATATTAAATCCTAAAACACCAAGTTATGGGCTAACGTTTTTGAGAGTTTAAAAGCGAATTTAACCAAAATTGATGCAATTTCGATCTCGTACCGCAAAAATATTTGCGTATTTGCTGATTTATATTTCGCGTACATTTTTTCGCCTGTAAAAAACGTGTCATCGGACTAAGTCGCCAAATAACCCTTGCTAAAACGTGTGAATTTATCGTTTTTGGGTTAATAATGAATTCTCATACAATTTCTTTTGAGAAGCTGGACGGTCGCGATAATTACAACGCGTGGAAAAGAAATGTTAGATCGTACCTCGTCATCAAAGATTTGCGGTCAATCACATACGAGGAACTTACAGCGACGTCATCAGCAGCAGAAAAATGTCGAGACTTGAAATGTCTTTCCGAGATCATCTTGCTGATTGATTCACACGTGTTTTCATATATTGATTGCATGGAAACAGCGAAAGATGCATGGGATGCACTAGAAAAAAGTCTAAGTGAAACCGGTCTTAGCCGTAGAGTCGCATTGCTAAAACAATTTACGCACACCGTACTCTCTGACTTCGGTAACATGGAGCAGTTTGTCACTGAAATGCTCTCATTATCGTCACGAGTCAAGAATGATAGAATACAAGATTGCGCCGATCGGAGAGGATTTTTGAGAATAACTTGTGTGTGACGTCACACTGGTGCAATTGCGAGAGAGAAATGCCAAAACGTGAGCAAGAATGGAAGAAGAAGAAAAAATGTTGCAAAGAAAACGTAAACAAGTTTCTGTCAAATTCGTTAAGAGAGGAATAGCGGTCCGAGATCGGCGCAACCTTTGTATTCTCTCAATCGTGGTCACGAGTAAGAAGTGCCGGTTTGTCACTGAATGATGAAGTGGTAGGCTCAATCATGCTTGCTGGTTTACCAGCTTAATTTGATACCTTCGTTATGACCATAGAAAATACTCAAAAAACTCTAACGATTGAGTATGTCAAAACTACGTTGCTGCAAGAATCAAGGTTAGATCCAAAGAGCAGTACTTCGAGCGACAGTGCAATGTTCGCAAAAAATAAGGAATTCGCCTGTCATTTCTGTAAGCAAATTGGGCATTTTGCGAAGGTCTGCCCAAAGAAGAAAAAGAAACATATCAACAACAAGCCTAGTCGTGATAATGTATTGTTTGCTTCGCTTCTCGCATGTAATGTGAATTCCACTGACTGGTACGTCGATAGCGGTGCCACGTTACCCATGTCAATGGAGAGTTCGCTTTTCTCGAACAAACGCTCAGTTATAGAGAAGAATGTTATTGTTGCTAACAATTCAAATCTTAAAGTGGAATGTATTGGCGACCTAGATATGTTTCTCAATATTGGCGAAGAGGAACGTCCATCTAAAGCAACAATTGCGAATGTCACATGCGTTCCCCAGTTGTGTGCGAACCTTCTATGAGTGAGCCAAAAGGCAATCAAGGGAAATAAAATCGTAAAATTTACAACGCGAATTTTAAGCTGATCGGTACAGCGTCACTTGTTAATGGGCTGTTTCGGCTGAATTATGCACCTGTGCACAAAATAGATAACAGACACAAAGCGATAATTGCGAGTAATAACCATGAGTTATGGCATCGTCGCCTCGGGCATATCTGCGACAGTAATTTAATTAAGGTACAAAAGTCATCGCAAGGTCTGAAACTAATGTCGACTAAGGGGCAACAATGTATTGTTTGCATGAAAGGCAAACAATCCCGGCTGCCATTTAAAGATCCAAGTAAAAGAGCCAAACAACGTCTCGACTTGATACATTCAGATGTTTGTAGCCCACTCGAAGAAAGATCACATTCTGGTGCCCGTTTTATTGTTAATTTCGTGGACGACTTCAGCCACAATGTTATTGTTGTACCGATTACTACGAAAGCAGATGTTTTTGATGAATTTAAAGAATTCAAGTCTATCGTGGAGAACCAATGTTCGAGGAAAATTAAACTGTTGCGAACTGATAACGGCACTGAGTACTCAAGTCGCGAATTCCAAAACTTTTTAGCAGATCATGGCTTTAAGCATGAGAAAACCGCCCCGTATACCCCAGAACAATGTGGTGTCGCCGAAAGAATTAATCGGAGTATTGTTGAACGTATACGATGCATGTTGATAGATGCTGGCTTAGGTAAGAAATTTTGAGCTGAAGCTTCTGTCACAGCAGCCTATCTGTTAAACAGAATTCCATG